GTATCGTCTGACTTTAATGTCAACATTGTACACCATAATCATATTCTAAAAGTGAACCAAATTTCAAATGATGAAAGATTTCAGCAAACAGAAGAATACGTCAATAAAAGTTTACCAACGTTTACCTTCATGAGGACAGGGCTTACAGTTCCTCGGAGGCCAATGACACTATGCATTTCATAGGTACGTTTTACATAAAAATATATATTTTAATAAATGTACTAAATTTTTATGCTTCAAATTTGTAAAACAGTCACGAATCAATTTTATCATTTTTACGGTTAAAACACATATTTACATAAAATTTCACGATTACACATTTCAGATAAAGAATATTACGACTTATAGGAAGTGATTTTCCATTTCATCTTTTTGTCTTTTTATGTTGTAATCTTATAACAAGTACACTTGCACTTTTTTATTTTAGATATATAGCAAAGAGTTTAACCATAAGATATTTGCTGAACAGATATTTACTCATTGATTATAAAATAATTTATACGAAACAGATATGGTAGACTCTGTCAGTCCATGACCTTTTATTTCGAGTTCATTTAGATAGATCCGGTCGAAATAAAAACAACATATTTATTGAAAAATAATTCTGAATTGTTTCTGCTGTGGATTATGCTTTATACGTGTGTTTAGATAGGTCTGCTTATAAAGGCAATCTGTTTAAAATCAGATCCTTTGATCCGCTCACATAGATCGCTACACAAGGATCTGAAGAAACCACATTCAGGGTCATCTCCTGGTGACCTTTGAATTATCCAATCAAATGTTCACTTTGGAGAATTGGAAAGTATCTCGGAATTCAGATACAGAGGTGATACACGTATGGAAAAATCGTGACCTAGTTTCTTTAGCCTGAAGATTTAGATGTACCCTTCGCTCTGCTCCTAATTTGTATTGCTTGAATGGACTTTTGAGCTTGAATGCTGTTCGTAAATATCTTACTATATATTTCACCCTGCAATGAACGACCAGTTCCTGTCTGTTTACAACTGTGTCTTTTTAAATAAGACACTGACTTTTACAGTTGACAGCTTACTTGGACATTTAAACCTGCGTCATGTACGGAGGTACAGAATTGAAAATGGATAGGAAAACATCCACTGAGGTGAAAGTTATTGTATTCGGGGCTTTGAAATAATTTATCAAACAAAAACTTATCATTGGCGGTAGAATAAAATTTATTTAGATACTTTATTCACGAGAATTAATATATCCTTTTATTTTCAATAACTTAGGAAATGAAATAAAGAAGATGCAACATTCCAGTAGGAAAATTTGGCAGGATTTAGTCAAGACTGGAATGGAGGGTGTTGAGGGTAGGAATGTTGCCGTTTGCCTCGTAGACAACGTAATACGATATTTGAAATAACCCTTTATTATGATTTTGTTCATTGTTGAGATCAATATTTTTTTCACACAAGAGCTCCCGTATTTTTCCTGGTGTAAAACTAAGCCTTCAACTGTAAAAGTCAAGAAATAAGAGCTAGGGAAATTCCATAATTGAATATAGTTTTGAAAAAAATGCGTTTAAGAACTATTAACATTAACATTATGATTAAAAATTATTAAGCGTAAGACTGTGATGACCCTGAATGGTTTCTTCAGATCCTTGTGCAGCGATCTATGTAAGCGGATCAAAGTATTTGATTTCGACATTTAGATATATCGACGATGTATTGTCAATTAACAATGGTAATTTCCATTCCTATGTCGATACGATATATCCTGGTGAGCTTGAGATAAAAGATACCACAGAGTCTGACACTTCTGTTTCATACTTGGATATTTTATTTGAAAAAGACGCTAATGGTAATCTAAAAACCAAACTATATGATAAACGTGACGACTTTAACTTTTCTATCGTCAAATTCCCTTACTTATGCAGCAATATACCTTCATCACCTGCATATGGAGTACATGTATATATCTCAGTTGATTCGATACGCAAGAGCATGCTCTACGTATGAACAATTTCTGAAACGAGGTAAATTATTGACAAACAAGTTGAAGAATCAAGAATATCAGCAGTCTTGTTTAAATTCATCATTGTAAGTCAGCAACCTTGTCATCAAATACGATTTATCATTGAGTCAATTGCTGACTGACGTTTTTCATACTAATTGCTAGTCCATTATTTATACACTGAATTGACGACGGATTTTTTCTGTTATTTCCTGATCATGACAAGGAGCACACGGCGGGTGTGACCGGTCGGCAGGGGATGCTCACTCCTCCATGGCACCTGATCCCAACTCTGTTGTTTTGGGGGTCTGTGTTTGCTCTGCTCTGCTCTAATTTTGTATTGTTTTATGGATTTTGAGATTGAATACTGTTCGTTATCTCCATATCCTTCCTTTAATCAGATTGCTTATAAAGAAACACAAATATTGCTAATGGAAAGTCCGGAAGATAATGAATTAGACCCTTCTCTTCAAAGACAACATAGATATTGTCACTGGTAGATTGAAGATGGCCTGACTTAAGATAACGAATAGTATTCAATCTCAGAGATTCATTCAATATATACTATCGTTATTCTCGATCATGACATTGGAGCACATGGCGGATGTGACCGGCCAATAGGATAAGCTAACTACTTCATGGTAACTGATCCCACCTCAGAAGATTTAGATGTACCCTTTGCTCTGCTCCTAATTTGTATTGCTTGAATGGACTTTTGAGCTTGAATGCTGTTCGTAAATATCTTATTATATTTCACCCTGCAATGCACTACCAGTTCCTGTACTCTACATGTACCTAGGCACCAGATTTCACCCCCAGGAATTTCTATACTCTAGTCTATTTACAGCTGTGTCTTTTTTAAATACATCTTATTAATGTATCAAAGTGACTGCTATTTTCATTTTATTCATTACGTGTTATGTCACGAGTAAGAGGAAAATTCCATAATTGAATATAGTTTTGAAAAAAATGCGTATTACTTTAAAGTTAATACTATTAACACCAACAGTATGATTAAAAAATATTAAGCGCAAGACTGCCTAGACTTGATTTGAAATAAAGGGGTCGATTCAAAAGTAATGTCACATATTCAATAAAATCTTTTGTAATTAAATGTAAATATCACACGCAAAATTTTAGACTGTTATAGCTGATATCAAATTTTATTTCTACCTCCACTTTTATTTGGTTATATAAGATATATATTTTTAAATCATTCAGGTGTTCACAAGTTTTATCTATCGTCCCACGAAAAGAATGTTACATGTTGTTTTTGGAGCACTTTTTCAGAGTTTATCTGTATATCGTTTAAAATCTCACTATTGCTCGTTTCATTTTCTTGATTGTTAATTCTCTAAAAGAGTCAAAATTGTTAAAAAAAATTTTTAGAAAAAAATTAGCAATAAATGATGGTTATTTAAAATTGATTACACGAGAGTTGTGACATTACTTTGAGATGACCTTAGTATAATGTGCAGAATATCTTAAAATCAATAAAATATGTGAATACCTGAGTAGGTGTTCGCACTATTGATATAATCAAAACTGAAATCAACTTGTAATTTTTCTCCTCTTGTAAAATATATCGGTAAAATCCCACTGACCCAGTGATTTATTTGCGATATATGTATCTCATAGAAGGTGAAAATGACATATATGCTAAAAATTAATTACAATTAATTTTATATTTATATTTTTTACTTTTATGCAAAATCGTCTATTAATTTTATTATTTAATGTATATATCTAAGACTAAGTTTTAATAGTGTTTAATACATGCAAGCCAGTTTTTGAGATAGTCCAATATTCGTTATTTTGCAAGAATGAGTTAATTGCGGGAAAAATCACGTAAGATTGTAACATTTTTTACCATATAGGTACATGTAACATAGATAATTCTTAAAATCATCGGGACAAACTCAGAATAGGACTGCGCTGAATAAAAGTGATTGGAAATATTTTTTAATACCATGACAAAAGTTGTATACCGCAAACTTGTGCACATGTGTAGATATTTTTCAAATATTATCCATTTCATTTGCTAATATTATTCTTTCCAAAAACTCAATATATTAGATACAGATTTTACTATTTACGTATACTTTTCCCTTTACGGATTTAAGTGTTCGCTTGATCATGATAACTACGGTACCACGGAGTTGACCGGTCTACAGGGGATGTTTAATTCTCTATGGCACCTGACCCCATCTCTGATGATTGAGAGGTCTTTGTTTGCTTTGATCCTGATTTGTATAGTTTGATTGGACTTTTGAGTTTGAATTATTTATATAAGAACATTAAATGGACATTGAGACAGTCTCGATCAGCTAAAAATTTTCAAATTTGGTTTTTTTTTTCTTTTATAAGTACAAATATTTAACCAAGGTCTATCTGGGACCTTATTCACAAAGCCTCCGTAATTTCCGCAGTCGCGGAGCGTTTACGGAAGGATTGCGGAAAGTTTACGGAAAGATTGCGGATGGTTTACGGCGTATTCACGAAGCTTCCGTAAACTTTGCGAAATTTACGGAAAGTTTCCGCAAGTGAAACACGCTGAACGGGCACCTGCATTGTACAAAAAAAGAGTCATGAACATATTAAAACTTTAATAGTTTTGAGCGTGTTTTGTTTATTTTTTTAATCAAATATGTTGCATACTCCAAATTAAAGAATCAAAACTTAAATGAGTAATATCCTTCTAAGAAAAAAAAGAATAAGAAAGTATTTTATCACGTGTTTATATTTTAATAGTGAACAAAAATAAAGCTTTCTAAAGGTTATTTATAACAATTAAAATCAAAATATTCATACTGTTGTGATTATTAGTTAACTAAATGCGTAGTCGGGGGGGGGGGTGTATTTTTTTTTTAATATACACTATTGAAACTGGTAATCATTTAAATAATAAATGAATAACCAGCAATTTACAAATAATGAATAAATAATAAACGTTTTCGGCGTAACATATATATTTGTACATAGGTTTAGATCTATAGATTCTCTTGATACCTCTTTTGTCCCGTGAACCTATTGTGACGTCATGACTAAGAAAATGACATCATTGAAATTCTGACAATTAACGCTGAAATTATGGAAGATAGAAAAAAGAAGCCGCGTTTTAGTGAGAAAGAAATTGAAATATTAGTTCAAGGAGTTAAAGAACGTTCAGATGTCATCAACTCAAAATTCAGTGACATGATCAGCAATACAAAGAAAAAGCAAGCGTGGGTGGAAATTTTGGAATCTGTAAATGCTGTCTCATTCTCAAAGAGAACTGTCGACGAAATTAAAAAGAAGTGGGATGATGTAAAGAGGGGTACAAAGAAGAGAGCTTCTGCCGTCCAGAAAGAACGTTGTAAAACGGGGAGTGGAAAATTGGAGATTATACCTTTAAGCCCAATGGAAGAAGATATTGTGTCTGTAATGGGAGAGGAGAGAATTTTTGGATTCAGCTCGTATGTAGACACCATGATTCCACCTGTAAGTAAGCCTAATTTCATTCCGTCATTTTTGGTATTTACTTTAATCTAAAACAATATATTTGTTTCGAGACTTTCAACAATTTTGAACGATGTTCACATACTAAATTTCAATATCTGCATATACACACATAAAATCATTTTTACAGTTTTTAAAAATAATGACTGTTTTATAAACTTGTACATAGTCTTAAAAGTTATTAATGTCATTTTGATTTTTTTGAGAGACAAGATATAAGGTGTGTATGTGTTGGGAGGGGGGGGGGGGTTACATGTCAATAAAGGAAAATATGTAATACTGGGGAAGCTTACAGGTTACATAACCTATATAGGTTACACGAATTGTCGCCTATAATCTCTTTATTAGTAGCAATTATAATAAGTCAGAATTTGAGTGTACATATCGGTGTTTTAATTTTTTCTCTGCGTTTTCTAATATACAATTCTAGTAACTTCCCCAGTCATACAGAGGGCGTGATTTCTACATTGATCCTTGTTTCCGCTTTTTTTTTTTAGCTCACCTGAGCCGAAGGCTCAAGTGAGCTTTTCTGATCACATTTTGTCCGTCGTCCGTCTGTCCGTCCGTCTGTCTGTCTGTCTGTCCGTCCGTCTGTAAACTTTTCACATTTTCGACTTCTTCTCAAGAACCACTGGGCCAATTTCGACCAAACTTGGTACAAAGCATCCTTGGGTGAAGGGGAATTTAAATTGTTAAAATGAAGGGACATATCTCCTCGCAAGGGGAGATAATCAAGAAAAGACAAAAATAGGGTTGGGTCATTAAAAAATCTTCTTCTCAAAAACCACATGGCCAGTAAAGCTGAAACTTATGTGAAAGCAGCCTGGGGTAGTGTTGATTCTAAATTGTTCAAATCATGACCCCCGGGGATAAGGCGGGGCCAAAATGGGGAATCAAAGTTTTACATAGAAATATAAAGGAAAAATCTTTGAAAATCTTCTTCTCAAGAACCACTGGGCCAGAAAAGCTGAATCTTATGTGGAAGCATCCTTGGGTAGCGTAGATTCTAAATTGTTCAAATCATGACCCCCAGGGGTAGGGCGGGGCCACAATGGGGAATCAAAGTTTTACATAGAAATATAAAGGAAAAATCTTTGAAAATCTTCTTCTAAATAACCACTGGGCCAGAAAAGCTGAATCTTATGTGGAAGCATCCTTGGGTAGTGTAGATTCTAAATTGTTCAAATCATGACACCCAGGGGTAGGGCGGGACCACAATGGGGAATCAATGTTTTACATAGAAATATATAGGAAAAATCTTTGAAAATCTTCTTCTCAAGAACCACTAAGCCAGAGAAGCTGAAACTTATTTGGAAGCATCCTGGGGTAGTGTTGATTCTAAATTGTTCAAACCATGACCCCAGGGGGTTGGGCGGGGCCACAATGGGGAATCAGTCTTTTACATAGAAATATAAAGGAAAAATCTTTTAAAATCTTCTTCTCAAGAACCACTGGGTCAAAAAAGCTGAAATGTATGTGGAAGCATTCTAGGGTAGTGTAGATTCTAAATTGTTCAAATCATGACCCCCAGGGGTAGGGCGGGGCCACAATGGGAAATCAAAGTTTTACACAGAAATATATAGGAAAAATCTTTGAAAATCTTCTTCTCAAGAACCACTGAGCCAGAGAAGCTGTAACTTATTTGGAAGCATCCTGGGATAGTGTAGATTCTAAATTGTTATAATCATGACCCCCGGGGGTTGGGCGGGACCACAATGTGGAATCAATGTTTTACATAGAAATATATAGAAAAAATCTGAAAATCAAAGCAGAAACTTACATGGAAGCATACTGGGGTAGTGTAGATTTCAAATTGTTTAAATTATGATCAGTGGGGTAGGGTGGGGTCAAAGCTTCTCAGGTGAGCGATGTGGCCCATGGGCCTCTTGTTAAAATATGCATCTACTAACGGTTAATTTATGTACCTTCATTCTGAGATGATACTGTAAATACAATTATAGGGATAGTATGCCCTTAAAACTTCTGTAGAAACATGAGTTATAAATCTTCATAAAAAATGCAGATTATAAATATTGATTTTATTATGAATTTCCCACCTATAAAATATTTATATATATAATTTTTTATGACATTATATAAGCAGAAAATATCAAGTTTATCATGTACCAAATTCCACTTAGACACCAAGCAAAGCTGTTTCTGGAGAGAGTCCACCACAAGAAGTGCAAGAGGTGCAGACGACTGCAGAGGGAGGCATCAGTGAAAAAGCACCAGAATCTGCTTTCTGTGCGAAGAAAATGAAAAGGCGGCCTTCTCAATATGAGGCTGATGAGAGGTGATTTTATTTACTAGTATTTGAATAAAACCTTGATTGCATTTTTCTGAGTAGCATCCCGTCCATTTTCGATAGCAATGAAGCAACGGCACTTGTTTCTTCAATATTTTTAGCCCATAGTATATTATAATTTTTTTATACAATGGGTTAATTTAAAAAATATTACAGAAACAAGCGCCTGTGCGATGGAAGTCAATAACAGTGTAATTGATGCAAATCACCTATGGGATCTTACGTTTTAAGTTTTCGTAGTTAAAAAAATAAATGTCTTCTCCAGAAAGTAATCTCATGTGCCCTGAAAAAAAAATATTATAGTTCTTTTCAAAACCTTCATTTATTTACAAAGTAAGTAAAATGCACTAGGCACAAGTTCCAAAGTTGCAATTTTTTTTTTTTTAACGATTAAAACTTCAGACTCCTGTGTACAAATATAGATGCTCTGAAATTGACACTGGCAATACCAGTCTAGAACAGGATATATACATATATATATATATACATGTACATGTACAATCGGAAGTTTAGAGTTTTATTGTTTAACCTGCACTTAAATGTACAAAAAGTTACAGTAAGTCGGGTTTTATGAAACCAAGACTATGACAGTTGAATTTCTAAAATTGTGATAAATACATAGCTTTTCTAATCTTCCTTCGTGGATCTGTCAGAAAACTCGGAAAATCGCGGCAATCTCGGATATATTTTTCGAGCTCTCCAGACTGAAGGGCCCGAATTGATGCTTTTGGTAAAAAAAAAAAAATAGTAACACAATGGAAATCTTTTAAATAGGTACTCATTGGCTCTTCTGACCTTTGATTTTTCACCTCGAAATTGAAAGCAAGGCAAAATACAGAATGTTGTTTTGAGTTAAAGAGTTATCGATTGTCGATGTGAAGCACACTCTTATAGATTTACTATTCTAAATTGTAACCCCCCCCCCCCCCCTCCATGCAACAATTTGTCTTTTTTTTAATTCTAATGCAGCAAATTAAAATTTGGTTCAGATATCTTCTTCTGTGTTTTATTATGCTATAGCGCTACCTCACCCATCTTTTTAAAAGATAAGCTTGTCTTGAGATAATTATACGTTAGTACGAGTTTTTGAGCATACTGAATGATTGTTCTTCGGTAGCTTGATACTACAGAGAGAACTAATCAAGATTCAGAGGGAATGGCTCGATGTGGAGAAAGAGAGACTCGGCATCGAGAGGGAGAGGCTTCAGATAGAGCGTCGACGCTTGGAGATGGATGAGCGGGCCAGGGGATTTTCCGCCACATGTAATAATTCAGAACGCAATGCATCGGAATTTCAACTCTTCAACGGTGCATTTATGCAAATATGAGGAATGTTAATGTGCATTTGATAAATCTTTTAATTCATATATCCACTGTTTTCTTTGATTTGCATGTACGTACAAAACATAAAGTTCCATTCATTATGAACAGCATATATGTAAGATGTAACTGGTAAATACAATGTATTTTTCCAGAAAAAAGAAATTAAACAAATGACAAATAAGTTCTAGACATCGTAGTTATATCTCTGTTTTCTTTTTGATCTACAAAGAAATGCAATAAAATTAAATAATACATACACTTGCTCCTATTTTAATCACTTTCTGCAACTTCTTTACATCTATTATCTCCTTCATGTTTATTTCACAATAAAAATAAAACTTTGGTGACTAAAATTCACCATTTTTTCACAGAATAAGAAGAGATCTCTGTAAACTTTCACCTAATTTCTAAAAAAAAAAAAAAGGTTCCGGTGTTTAATTAAGTTTGAAAAAGTGGGGGGTGCTCCTGAAATTTACATTCCGATATCTGTATATATGCCGAGCTTCTAAATATTGAAAACATTACCTATTACGCAAAGCTACCAATTCAAATACCCGGCCAGATCAAATGTCATCGCACAAATGAAATCAGTTTAATTTGTATTTTTTAAGTACCTAAAACCTGTCTCTTATCAACATTTGTCTAATCTCTTGTCCTGAGTGATCTTGTACATCGCCTGGCATGTCATCATCATCATCATTCTGCTCATCATCGTCCTGCTGGAACTCCACGGGGAGACCTCGATCTTCACAGATGTTGTGAAGCACTGCAGTAGCTGTGATTACTTGTACAGCTGTAGCTAGGCATATGGTTAACGGTCCACCTGTGTTACAGTTTTTTACACATGTTATACCGATTTGTCTTTACGTGAAGTCTAAAACTCTATTTCTGTCCTCATATGATGTCACAGATTATTCTATTTATTAAACACTGCTTGTGGTAGATAAATTTATCAATATGTAGATATACGGACCGAAAACTGTCCATATTTTTAAAAATTCTTTTCTATTTTCTAAAATTTATATTCATAAATTCATCCAATTTTTTTTCTTTTTTGGTGATAATTTACATGATTTTTTTTCGACCATGTTAATCATATGAGATAATATTTTTATCTTTCATGGCATCAGGCAGATAATTCCAAATGCAATAAAACATTCTGTATATTTTTCTTAAGTAAGGCCACACCAATAAAATTTTTTGTTCGTCGGACCCGCGCGCTCGTATTTAAACGAAACAAGACAAATAATATTATATAATTTAAAATTTCCCGCACCATTGGAATTTTGTGCTATTTTCTGTTCTATTTCCGCTCTATTTATCGTATTTTTCATCTGCTTACTCTGTAAATCAGAAAAAGATATAATTGTCCGCTCAAATTTCTTCACGCTCCGCCTAAAAAATTTATCTACAAAAAGTAATAATATTATTATTTAACCGCTAGCCCGCTCGTACTTTCTTTCATCAAATGTCCGACGAACAAGAAATTAAATTGGTGTGGCCTACATTAAACTCAGCTTGAAAATTGTTAAGTGCGTTTGTCATAACATTGTGTTGAGGGGACAGACAGCCAACAAGTCGTCAATTTAGAATACATGTAGGTACGTGTATGCTGGGAAGTTCAAAGATGTGACATGTGTCATGTTGTGAATTTTGAATTTACCGGGTGGCAGTAAATACAAAATTTACAACATGACAACTTGTAAATTTTGTATTTACTGACACCCGGTAAATTCAAAATTTACAACATGACACATGCATTAATATTTTATTTAGAAAATACCTCGAGAACAAAGATTATGTTATTCACGTAATACTATTGATGATGAATTTTATTTCTTTCTACAGTGTAGCTTGAATATACAAGCAAGGGAAAAACTTTTTTAAAAATATGTTAGATAATTGTTCCTCATTCTACATCAAATCACCTACACAGAAACTTGAATATATACTAAGTCCAAAACTTGAAGTTATAACGGCTGTTTGCACTTTTATAAAACTATCACTAGAATTGAGAAATAAAAGGTCCACATCGGTGCAACATTTAGGAATGAATTTCTATATGTATATATACCAGTATGCGTAAATACAGCAAAATCAAGGGGGGGGCAAATGTGCCCCCTCTCTTCAAATGGGGATTCGGTAGGGTGTGAGGGTGAGATATAGAGGGAGATAAAAGGTTAGCTATGAGTCTCACGTTTTGCTTTACGTTGGATATCCAATTTAACAATATCTTGATTCAAAGAGAAAGAGAAAAGCAATGATTAGACATATTGATATGGAAACATCCTCCAGGTCACGTAGACTCAAATTTGTTCAAATCACAATGGAAATTAGAAATGGATTGCTTTTTCATATTCATAATTATGTTGATTACAATATACATGTATATAAAATTTTCTTTACACTTAGAATATAATTTTATTCACGCCAGACAAGTGACTTTCCATATATTGTGTATAAAACGTGTTGTTATGACTATTATATAACCAAATTTTATGAGGAAAAACAAGCCTTTTAGAAAATCTCATGCATGCTTGTTATAAACTATAGTATACGAACCAAATTTGTGAATGCAAAGCCACCGACTCTTCCATCGTCCGAACGTATCTTCAATTCTCTGTCTAGCTCTTTTGTGCGCAACATTGAATGCCCTGTCAGCTGGTGTACTTGGAGCCCGAAGAGGAGTGATTAAATATTGTCTCAACGGGTAGGCCTGGTCGCCCAAAAGATGGCCAACATAGGGCTGATTTTTAAACCACTCTTTCAGCGAACAATTATTCCAAACATATGCGTCATGTGTGCTACCAGGCCATTGAACAACAATGTTTGTCAGTTTTTTCTTATGATCACAAACTCCCTGAACGTTAATTGCGTGGTACCCTTTTCTACACACATACGCGTCTTCCCTTTCCGATGGTGGTTTAATTTGGATAAGCGTTCCATCAACGCATCCCAATACATTTGGAATATTAAATTCGCACGAAAAACCCTGTTTGATTACAAGCTGTTCTGCTATTCTCTCAGGAAACTTGATGAATTCCCTTGCCCTATTTGATAAAGCTTTAGATGTTTTGTAGACTATTCTTGAAACAGTTGGCTGGCTTACCCCTGCAATGTCGGCGACTACCTGTTGTAGGGATCCAGTGGCAAAGTACCTCAGGGCCGTCAAAACTTGTAGAGAAGCCGGTATGCTCTTGGACCTCATAGTGGGTGGCTCCAAGTCCTCAGCCAACAAATCTATAATATCTAAAATACAATATCTTGGCATGCGGAATCTTACGATTAAGTCTTGATCGTCATACATATCCAAAGGATGTGTCCGGTCCCTGAAGACCCTTTCTCTTCTTAAATTTCTCTTGTTTAATCTTTGGAATATGACTTGGAACGCCATTTCGTAGTTTCTTGAATAACGGGTATGACGTAAAATATTACGTAACAATCGTTTTATACGTAACTTAAAAAACTGAGTACTCTTTATGTGCAAAAAAAAAAAGATTATAATAAATAAAAGTAGATCGGGAAGAAAGTTTAATCAATTGTATAATTTAATTATTATTTATGTGTTTCCATTTAAATGTTAAATTATTTATTCTTAAGTATAATTAATTTATTTTTATTTCATAAATATGGGCTTTGCCCTTTCCGCAACGTTTACGGATGGTCATGACGTCCCGTAATGTACCGCCGATTTTACGGAACGTTTACGCAAAGTTTGCGGGTGCGGTATTTACGGAGACGTCGTGAATAAGAATTTTTCCCCTGCGGGTCAATTCCGCAAAGTCTACGGGTCCGGTAAGTTTACGGAGGCTTTGTGAATAAGGTCCGGGACCTTATTCACAAAGCCTCCGTAATTTCCGCAGTCGCGGAGCGTTTACGGAAGGATTGCGGAAAGTTTACGGAAAGATTGCGGATGGTTTACGGCGTATTCACGAAGCTTCCGTAAACTTTGCGAAATTTACGGAAAGTTTCCGCAAGTGAAACACGCTGAACGGGCACCTGCATTGTACAAAAAAAGAGTCATGAACATATTAAAACTTTAATAGTTTTGAGCGTGTTTTGTTTATTTTTTTAATCAAATATGTTGCATACTCCAAATTAAAGAATCAAAACTTAAATGAGTAATATCCTTCTAAGAAAAAAAAGAATAAGAAAGTATTTTATCACGTGTTTATATTTTAATAGTGAACAAAAATAAAGCTTTCTAAAGGTTATTTATAACAATTAAAATCAAAATATTCATACTGTTGTGATTATTAGTTAACTAAATGCGTAGTCGGGGGGGGGGGTATTTTTTTTTTAATATACACTATTGAAACTGGTAATCATTTAAATAATAAATGAATAACCAGCAATTTACAAATAATGAATAAATAATAAACGTTTTCGGCGTAACATATATATTTGTACATAGGTTTAGATCTATAGATTCTCTTGATACCTCTTTTGTCCCGTGAACCTATTGTGACGTCATGACTAAGAAAATGACATCATTGAAATTCTGACAATTAACGCTGAAATTATGGAAGATAGAAAAAAGAAGCCGCGTTTTAGTGAGAAAGAAATTGAAATATTAGTTCAAGGAGTTAAAGAACGTTCAGATGTCATCAACTCAAAATTCAGTGACATGATCAGCAATACAAAGAAAAAGCAAGCGTGGGTGGAAATTTTGGAATCTGTAAATGCTGTCTCATTCTCAAAGAGAACTGTCGACGAAATTAAAAAGAAGTGGGATGATGTAAAGAGGGGTACAAAGAAGAGAGCTTCTGCCGTCCAGAAAGAACGTTGTAAAACGGGGAGTGGAAAATTGGAGATTATACCTTTAAGCCCAATGGAAGAAGATATTGTGTCTGTAATGGGAGAGGAGAGAATTTTTGGATTCAGCTCGTATGTAGACACCATGATTCCACCTGTAAGTAAGCCTAATTTCATTCCGTCATTTTTGGTATTTACTTTAATCTAAAACAATATATTTGTTTCGAGACTTTCAACAATTTTGAACGATGTTTACATACTAAATTTCAATATCTGCATATACACACATAAAATCATTTTTACAGTTTTTAAAAATAATGACTGTTTTATAAACTTGTACATAGTCTTAAAAGTTATTAAAGTCATTTTGATTTTTTTGAGAGACAAGATATAAGGTGTGTATGTGTTGGGAGGGGGGGGGGGGGGTTACATGTCAATAAAGGAAAATATGTAATACTGGGGAAGCTTACAGGTTACATAACCTATATAGGTTACACGAATTGTCGCCTATAATCTCTTTATTAGTAGCAATTATAATAAGTCAGAATTTGAGTGTACATATCGGTGTTTTAATTTTTTCTCTGCGTTTTCTAATATACAATTCTAGTAACTTCCCCAGTCATACAGAGGGCGTGATTTCTACATTGATCCTTGTTTCCGCTTTTTTTTTTAGCTCACCTGAGCCGAAGGCTCAAGTGAGCTTTTCTGATCACATTTTGTCCGTCGTCCGTCTGTCCGTCCGTCTGTCTGTCTGTCTGTCCGTCCGTCTGTAAACTTTTCACATTTTCGACTTCTTCTCAAGAACCACTGGGCCAATTTCGACCAAACTTGGTACAAAGCATCCTTGGGTGAAGGGGAATTTAAATTGTTAAAATGAAGGGACATATCTCCTCGCAAGGGGAGATAATCAAGAAAAGACAAAAATAGGGTTGGGTCATTAAAAAATCTTCTTCTCAAAAACCACATGGCCAGTAAAGCTGAAACTTATGTGAAAGCAGCCTGGGGTAGTGTAGATTCTAAATTGTTCAAATCATGACCCCCGGGGATAAGGCGGGGCCAAAATGGGGAATCAAAGTTTTACATAGAAATATAAAGGAAAAATCTTTGAAAATCTTCTTCTCAAGAACCACTGGGCCAGAAAAGCTGAATCTTATGTGGAAGCATCCTTGGGTAGCGTAGATTCTAAATTGTTCAAATCATGACCCCCAGGGGTAGGGCGGGGCCACAATGGGGAATCAAAGTTTTACATAGAAATATAAAGGAAAAATCTTTAAAAATCTTCTTCTCAAGAACCACTGGGCCAGAAAAGCTGAATCTTATGTGGAAGCATCCTTGGGTAGTGTAGATTCTAAATTGTTCAAATCATGACACCCAGGGGTAGGGCGGGACCACAATGGGGAATCAATGTTTTACATAGAAATATGTAGGAAAAATCTTTGAAAATCTTCTTCTCAAGAACCACTAAGCCAGAGAAGCTGAAACTTATTTGGAAGCATCCTGGGGTAGTGTTGATTCTAAATTGTTCAAACCATGACCCCAGGGGGTTGGGCGGGGCCACAATGTGGAATCAGTCTTTTACATAGAAATATAAAGGAAAAATCTTTTAAAATCTTCTTCTCAAGAACCACTGGGTCAAAAAAGCTGAAATGTATGTGGAAGCATTCTAGGGTAGTGTAGATTCTAAATTGTTCAAATCATGACCCCCAGGGGTAGGGCGGGGCCACAATGGGAAATCAAAGTTTTACACAGAAATATATAGGAAAAATCTTTGAAAATCTTCTTCTCAAGAACCACTGAGCCAGAGAAGCTGTAACTTATTTGGAAGCATCCTGGGATAGTGTAGATTCTAAATTGTTATAATCATGACCCCCGGGGGTTGGGCGGGACCACAATGTGGAATCAATGTTTTACATAGAAATATATAGAAAAAATCTGAAAATCAAAGCAGAAACTTACATGGAAGCATACTGGGGTAGTGTAGATTTCAAATTGTTTAAATTATGATCAGTGGGGTAGGGTGGGGTCAAAGCTTCTCAGGTGAGCGATGTGGCCCATGGGCCTCTTGTTAAAATATGCATCTACTAACGGTTAATTTATGTACCTTCATTCTGAGATGATACTGTAAATACAATTATAGGGATAGTATGCCCTTAAAACTTCTGTAGAAACATGAGTTATAAATCTTCATAAAAAATGCAGATTATAAATATTGATTTTATTATGAATTTCCCACCTATAAAATATTTATATATATAATTTTTTATGACATTATATAAGCAGAAAATATCAAGTTTATCATGTACCAAATTCCACTTAGACACCAAGCAAAGCTGTTTCTGGAGAGAGTCCACCACAAGAAGTGCAAGAGGTGCAGACGACTGCAGAGGGAGGCATCAGTGAAAAAGCACCAGAATCTGCTTTCTGTGCGAAGAAAATGAAAAGGCGGCCTTCTCAATATGAGGCTGATGAGAGGTGATTTTATTTACTAGTATTTGAATAAAACCTTGATTGCATTTTTCTGAGTAGCATCCCGTCCATTTTCGATAGCAATGAAGCAACGGCACTTGTTTCTTCAATATTTTTAGCCCATAGTATATTATAATTTTTTTATACAATGGGTTAATTTAAAAAATATTACAGGAACAAGCGCCTGTGCGATGGAAGTCAATAACAGTGTAATTGATGCAAATCACCTATGGGATCTTACGTTTTAAGTTTTCGTAGTTAAAAAAATAAATGTCTTCTCCAGAAAGTAATCTCATGTGCCCTGAAAAAAAAATATTATAGTTCTTTTCAAAACCTTCATTTATTTACAAAGTAAGTAAAATGCACTAGGCACAAGTTCCAAAGTTGCAATTTTTTTTTTTTTTTTAACGATTAAAACTTCAGACTCCTGTGTACAAATATAGATTCTCTGAAATTGAAACTGGCATTAACAGTCTAGAACAGGATATATACATATATATATATATACATGTACATGTACAATCGGAAGTT